GGAATTGTGATGATAAGGTCAGGTCGATCGTAATGCATCTTCAGTCCTTTCATGTATATACCGAGGTGATCCAGTAAACGATGAAAGGAGTACCACCCTATTACCAAGTTAAGCAATATCTCTTGCCTCCCTATCACATCTTTTAAATGTACATCACTATCTGCTCTGAGGTATGCTTGGTAGTACTTGATATAATTCAGTCTTTCCGTTTTTATTTTCGCATACATTTCAACTAAATATGGACTAAAAAGGGTACGATAGTATAACAACCAATTTTCGTCATTTTGTTTGACCATGATCCGGTGATGCGATGCAATTTGTTATCGTGATTTTGTAAAACAATATCTCAAACTTTTCACAATCTGTGGGTACTTTTTGAAGAGTCGTTTTCAGGTCTCTTATATATGAATTTTTCTCGTGCAACATCGCTTGCAATTGTTTGACCAGATTTGGTTTCACACCAGAGATTTTGCTGCATTTCAAATTTGCCTCCCTTTCGTCTTCCCTAATGAAGTAAATTTGAAGAAATTGAGGTTCTTGCTGGGGCAAGGGTAATAAGCCACCAACCAAATGTTCCTGTACTTTGAAAGTGGGCATGAAACCATCTTCCATTATTTGGCAACACATGCCAGGAGCTTCTTCTTTCCACTTATAAGCTACACAATATATGCATTTGTGATTCATAGCACCTAGGGCTACGCGTTACATTATTTCTGTTGAAGAGCATTAATGTCAAGTTCCACGCAAAAATTTACAATAAAAACATTTTACCCATACACAATTAGGCACCACATTTCACCCCCTTAGGAGTTGAATCTCGGAAAATACGGGTTTCATTATATGTGTTGAGAATCATTAATACCAAGTTCCACGTAAAAATGTACAACAGAAGTAGTTTTCCCGTACAAACTTAGCCACCACTTTTCACCTCTATAGGGATTGAATCTCAAAAAATGCTGAAATACGTGTCTCGTTATTTGTGTTGACGAGCATTAGTACCAAGTTACACGTAAATACATTACATCCCAAAAAAAGTGCAACACCCAAAAGAATACTTTATTAGAAGTTTTGTACGTCAGGTTAAAGGTCACTGTATGCTTATCAAAGTATCAAAAAGTGGTTGGAAGCAGAAATGCCTATTTTTGTTTTTTTAACAAACGACAGTTGTTTAACTTTGCTGGTTTAGAAGATTCTGGGTATAGTCACATCAATTAATCGGTCGTTCCGGTTTAGATAGGGTAAGAAAAGTGTAATCAATGCCTAGAAGGCGAAGAAATCCACTTCACCATCAATTAACCCCCTTTGAGAGAGCGTGAATTGTAGGCATGAAAGAAGCTGGGCTGTCGCTTCGTGAAATTGGGCGACGATTAAATCGTAATGTGATAACTGTGGCTAGAGCTTGGCGGGCATGGTCTGAAGAACACCAAAAAACGCCCCGCAGAGGTAGAGGCCGCCTTAGAGTCTCACAACCACGTGAACATCGTCTTCTTAGACGCTTGGCCATACGAAATCCTTTCGAACCTTCTCAGGCAGTAGGCATTAATTGGCTGAGAGCTATTGAACGTCCGATCTCCAGAAGCACGATTTATCGTCGCATTGCGTCTTTGGGGCTTCATTCTTACCGGCCGTATTTTCGACTCCCATTGACTGCTGAATAAAAGGCTACCAGACGACAATGGTGTAACGATAGACAGGACTGGGAGCATGAGTGGAACAGTGTCGTCTTCAGCGACGAATCCAGGTATGGCAATCAGATGGACGTATGCATGTGAGAAGGCCAATAGGGGATGAAGCAATCCAGATTTTATTCAAAGACACCATACATGAATAACACCAGGAGTGATGATATGGGGTGCAATATGTATTGGAAGCCGATCACCTCTAGTCTTCATCTCGGGAACTTTAAATGTCCGTCGTTACATTGACCACGTGCTAGAGCCTGTGTTGTTACCTTATCGTGAACTTTCTGGCAGACAATAACGTCAACACACTGCCTTGGCCGCCTCGCTCCCCGGATATAAACCCAATAGAACATGTATGGGATATGCTTGAGGTTGTTGACTGATATTATCCAAATGCTAATCATTTTATACGATTGATTTGATATATGTACGTGGTTGAAGTTTCAATAAAATTCGTCCACTCGTTCCATGTGTTGCGCTTTTTTGGGATGCAGTGTATTTACAACAGAAATGGTTAGGAAATACTCTTCCTATACAAACTTTACCACCCCTTTTCACCCTATTAGGGGTGGAATTTCCGAAGTTCCTTTCTTAGTGGGTGCTTACATCACAAAAGGAAACTAATGTCCAAATTTCATGTTTCTAGCTTCAGTACTTTAGGCTCTGCGTTGATGAATCAGTCAGTCAGTACAATTTTATATGTATAGATATGTCTAATCATCTATTAATACAAGTAAAATATTTGTTGACAATATTAGTGTAGAGAGTATTGAATGTCAGTCCTTTAATATTGGCAAGTAGAAAAGTTGACGGAAGCGTGCCGACGGCGCAGGTACCCAAAAGTAAACCTGTAATCGAAGTAATCGAACAAAATAGGTTGAGGCAGGTCTTTAGGATGATAAAGACCGCCCACTGTAACTTCAAGAGATTCGAACGCTTCCGCAATAATTATATTATCAATATATAGGGACAATGTGAGTTTGGGCTTAAACATTATTCCCAGATCTCTAAATGAATCCAATCTTGAATAGATATTCGAATAAGTAACGTAATAAATGAATGTTGACTTAGATTTTTTGTCAGAGACAATGTGACACTTGTCGAAATTGCCAGGTGTCAGATCTGGCTATCTGGCAGGCCACCACATTGCCCCATTTTGGTAATCCATCTATGAGGAAATGTCTCATTCAAATCTGTTATTATTCGGGGGTCATGTGATGGTGCACAATTCCAAATAAATTTCCTTCGTAAAATTTGGGTCCGATAATTTGATCATTGAGGATTGTATGCTGACATTGATACCTCAAATGTGTTGAAAATTAGTTTCTCTTAGCCAGTGAGGATTTTCTGAAGCCCAGTAAAGGCAATTATGTCGATTCACAATTCCATTATTATTAAGGGTTTCTATAAATGATTATAGGGTCGAAGTTGGTCATGGAAACGTGCCGCCTCTCATTTTACTAAATGCGCAAGGACTCACGGCAAATACCACACGCATCTGTAAAAATGAAAAAAAAAAGTTCTGTAACATCCTTTCGTCAATACTTTGGACCCATTTTGAAATTTCATGTTGCGCAACAGGAACTCCTGACTGCTGAGGAAATCGTGTCAAAGATGTTTGCTAATTCTACTCAAGTCGTCTCAAATCATCAACATCTTCCTCAGATACGGAAGGTCTTTCAGGAGATTTCCCTTTGTTGACACTCCCGGTTCCAACAAATCTACTGATTACATCTCAAATGTGAGCCTCTAACGATGTTTTTTGAATTATCAAATTACTGTATTTGGCCAGATATTCTTGCTTACAAGCGGTTACAGAATACACTTACTCTTCGTTTACAAATGTTCCATTGCGATAATAAGACAATGAAGGTGTCTTGTTCAACAGAATAAACCATTTTCACGGTATTCGTTTATTCGCGTATTTGTCTGATGAAAATATGAGGATCCACATTAATCCTTCCCCCACGGTAGGTTCTTTATCTGTTGCAGTTTTTCGCAAAAAGCGTCCGTGTGCGTTTTTTTTGAAAGACACAGATGGTTCTAAATTTTTTGCTAAACTTGCTTGTTGTTTCCGGAAATCTTTCTTCGTATAATGTTCTTCGTACACTACAATATTTTATTTACTTTAATCTAGAAATAACAAATAAGAACACGAAAATAAGAGAAAACGTTGTTTGAGAAACGTCACCGTATTTTTTTTTAATTCACAAGCGTTTTAAACTTTCTAAATGAATATTGTTATACCGAGTCATATATCATTGAAAATAGAAAAAAAAAGCCCTCTTTTATGGTACTGCGCTGCAAACATCAAGGCCGGGAATTTACGTTGACGGTTATTGTTTAGAAAAATTGCCTGAAACCTAACTGATCCTCTTGCTATGATTTACAAGTACAGGAAACCGAAGATCGCCTACAAAATACCAAATCACTAATTAAGTGAAGAACTACCTAAAACACGCCTCTGGTATTTATATTTTTATAACGGAAAAACTAAAGTGACATCGCTCTTTGGTCTGCCATATAAATAATGTGAATGGCCTCGCTTGATTAATCTGCCAATCCAAGAATTCACTTGCGTAGGCCCAAGTCCTGATGATTAAATTAAAAAATTCACTCCCAATGAAGGAGTGACAAACAGTGGTGGTATGAATCTCCGACCTTGACAGTGGTGAACTTGGCGATATAAATCTTCTGGAGGCTCAATACTTTCAACGTCGGTTCTGCCACCAACAGAAGTCTCCAGTAGGACAAAAAAAAATTGGCGAAGCTCTAATAGAGAAAATATGCCGAGGAAGACGATACTTACGTTGTAGTGTGTGGCCTATTGCGTTTTTCCACGTTCCGACGTCTTTTCAATTAAGATAGAGTTTAATACTGTACTATGAAAAGTATCATAATAAATTAATAAATAGTGTTGAAAGAATCTGAAATAATTTTACACTTTTGACTATATTTATGAAAAGGAATTCATTCATGATATGTATTTTATTTCGTCGTGCCGTATCCTGATTTAATAGATTCCGGTGGACCTCATTTAATCAGTTTTAATTTACTATAATAATATTTTAAATTTACCTGGATTTGCTAGTGATTAGCAACAGGTATACTTTCGTTTAATTATGACCAATTTTAATAATAATTACAAAATCAATTGATTTTACATCAAAAAATCACTTTGTACTGATAAAGATTTTGAGTAACAGCGTGAGTGAAACAGCAGAAAATGAACGATTTAAAACTCGACACACTTTAGTTTGATGTTTTAAGTGATGGCACAACCCTAACGGTAATGACAGAGTTTATGGTCAAACTTACCGCTCATGAAGTTGTAGATGATGGGATTCACAGCACTGTTGGCATAGCACAGCCAATGGGATATCAATGAGAACGCCCTGTTGCCATCCGAGTTCTTCAGTCCGACGGTTTTCCTGCAAGAATTCGCAAACTTCAAACGAGAACAATAAAAGTGGTTTTTTGCCAACTCGAAAAGGTTAATTACTAATTAGCAGCGAGAGAGAACGCTCCGCTTTTAAAGGAAATATAAAGAATCGTGTTGCTTCATCAAAAAAGAGATAAAACCAATTTAGGCGAAAGGAAAGATGTCCTTAGATAGCTTTGGGGAAACTCTTGCTCTTTTAATTCTTGATTGAGTGATAAAACCACAAAGAAAATGAGGCCGGAGGCATTAGCGACAAGTTTATGGAAAAGGGCAATTTGCATCGCAAAAGTGACAGTGTTTCCTTGATCGTAATAGTCTCATTTCGTCCACGTCCTGTGTTCTATTGGCACAAAGAATTAAATTTTAATAACAGAAAGTTGGCAAATATTGTGCTTAGTAACCCATTAATTTTAAAAGTAGCGGTTTAATCTATTAGTTCTTTAAGCAGAAAATTTGGATGTCATTTATCACGAACCAATACATTTGCACAGCAACTTTAAAGCGAAACTCAATTCAGCGGATTTCCTTCGTGGACAAAGCCAAAATTGGCCGTCACTGGATACTGCAGACGGGAATTTCACATTTCCCTAAGACCATCCACATTTTACGAACTCTAGGGAAGCATTTTTCGTTTGGATGGAAATATTAGATCCAGTTGGTGTTTCTGCTTGCAGATTATTGCAGCAGGAACCTGATATTGCGCAATTTATTAAACTAAATGCCTGCTAAGGGACGTACAAAGCATTATTGGCTTAAATCTGTTATAATGCGGATAAACAGACACCGGAACCTGTTTCATTTTTAATAAAGTATGCCTGAGTTAGTGCAGACCACACTAATAAAGAAATTTGAGAGTTAGCAGTTGAGAACGTGAGTTACGACTACGCTGATTGGCGCAGTCGGTGGGATGTGGGAAGCTGATGGCTTGTAGCAATTTCAAGGAGACGTCACTTTGCTATGTTTTCGATTCGATTTTTATTGATGATGATAAGCGGGATTTATGGTTCGACTTTTGCGGGAAACAGGGCTTTGACGGTACTTTACATATAGCGAGAAAGCTTGGGATTTATCGCAGCTGAAAATTGATTCTTAAATGTGTTTAATGAAGCATAAAGGATACGACTCGTGCTAAGTAACATAAAATTCTATCTTGGCCAATACTAGCTAGTGTAATGTTGTTTCATTTAATATATTGGCGATTTGTACGTACGGGTTTTCATTTAGCTGCAGTTTCGTTCGACGATTGGATTTTGGAATATTGCATTTATATTTTTACGTTGTGTTATCACCAACCGACCAGCTCTTCATGCGACATTACACACAGTAACTTCGAGTTTTCTCAGTTGTATTCACGCCGTTTTTTTGAAAGGTATTTATCGATTGAACGTGACGTTAAAACTAACTAATTTACTTTTTATGGACGTTTCTACACTTTATAGCGGTCTCTAATAGTTCTTCTACGCGGGATACGTTCTAGAGTGCTGAATTCACCTTCAAATGGCTTTTTTTTGTTGGGGCACATATCAATGTCTCCTTCGTGGGGTGTATTATACTGTGAAATGGGATCGTAAAAACTTGTCTGGAAAAAGTGTTTGGATTTCTCCCCGGTTTCTCGATTGCGGTGTTATTTATCTCATAGATTTAAGAGAATATTTGTAAGTAATTGACGCGAAGACTTGAGGGGGAGAAGAATTTCTTTAGTCAATACATGCTGATGACTAGGTTGACACCTCCAGGAAAAGGGCGATCATTAACTCAGGTCCAAAGATATATCTCGTTATACTGGTATCTGGAGTGCCTTAATTCCTCGCCTTGACTGGTCTAAATTGATAAGAGCACATATTATAAATTTTGCATAAATTTTACCTGTGCATTTTCAAATTCAAATTTTAAAATTCATGCAACAGAAAAACAAAGGTGAAACTAATCTAAAACGAATTGAATGTGTTCCCCTACTAAATAAGCCTAATTAGAGTCAGGTAGATATATATTTGCCCGATCGGAGCGAACAAGACCGCCTACCGGAGTGAAAGGTGTCAGGTTAGTGAAGGGCCGGCTTGGACCGGAGTTAAGGTTCTCCCCAGGAAAACGGTGCTAAGCGCACCATTACATAGGTGATATTCAAGGGGATTATGGCAAAGTACACAACCTACATTACCACTACTACAGAGAGCTGGAGAGCAAACTTTTGGAAGAGCGAATTGGTGATTTTATGAATGAGTTAAATCGTGTTAGTAAGACAAATACGTCTGACAATATCTTTTGCAAAAATCTAGATATATATATATATATATATTGTTTTTTACGTTTTTTGTTGCATCTTTCGGTGAGACAAACCGTTTAATTTCTTTAAAATTAAAAACTACCCTTATGAAGTTTAAAATGGAGGTTCCTTTTTGTATGGCGGTTTCATTTTTAACAAAACGACTGTAGTGACAGCTGGCCATTGCACTGTAAGTATGGGTAACGAAAAATCGGCTAGGGTTGTGGATGGATTTTCTACCCACCGTCAAGTTAATGTGGAGCGTGTGACTCTAGAAGGTTTAAAACATTATAATACACCCAAACTATACAAACAGGATTGATGGGTCCGACATACTGCTATTGTTCCTAGAATTGTCATTAACCGTCTCAGAGAAAGTACAACCAGTTGCGCTACCTAGGATTTATCCAAAAGATAACGTTAAAAATGGGGGAAAAAGCACTCATTCCTCCAGAATGAGACATCCGCACAAAATTATAAAACCCGAGCAAATTCAAAATTTGGTCTGACTTATGATTAAGTCTGAAGGGACTTATTCATCCACTTGCAAAACCTCTCCAGATTTCAAAAATCAAATGTTAGAATTTGATACAAATATTTTTAAATCACAAATTTGCAGACACAAAGAAAAAGGGAAATCTAAATTAAAGTAATTGGATGTTAATGCCCAAGGTGTTATCACTACATAGCGTGGGGACACATAACGACACGTTTTACTCGTGCTATTTGCAATAACCACAGCTACAATACGCGACGTACGATTAACACGGGCATTACTGAGGCTATACTCGATTACTTGCAAAAGAAACAACCAGCTAGAGGGTCTGATTCATTGTATTGCAGATAAACATTGTGGGGACCGAATTTGAATTAAAATTTCGCGGTGAAAAAAATTAACAGCGGTGCGAAAATGCATTAAAAAAAAATTCAACCAAGAAAATCGTTAAACAGAGGCAACTGTGTGCACGTTTAGTTCTTGCTGGTAGCTGGTAGTTCTGCTAGGAAATTTTAGTGAGAAGGTTGGTAGAAGTTGGTTGGTTTAGTAGATGACACATTCTGCTCGGTGGCGTCACTTTTAGTGTATTTGTTGTGTAGTTTAGTTGGTTTGGTAGTTAATAGAAGGGAGAAAGCCTTATTTAACAAAAATTAATCGTAACGACGACGACGCCACAGATTCCCTAACACGCGCAGCTACTTCTTGCGGCTTTCGAAGCGGAAATAAGTGAATTTTCGACCAACGCTAATACGTTGTGTAAATTTGTTTTATTGTTTGAAAATTCACAGTTCATGTCAGGACTTTAATCGTTAATTGGTTCTAACACAATTTAAGAGTCATCAGAAGCTTGTTTAGATATGGCGCATGAAACTTAAAACATGTTGAAATTGGAAAATTTGTACAACGAAATATCAATAGGCTCCACCCCATAATTGCAAAATCCATGTTTCTTTGCAAAAACCGTTGCAACCAAGTTTTAAGTGTTTTGTTATGAAAAGATGGCTGTGTATATTAAGAAAGAAAAGGCAAAATATAATTTTGAAGATTTTTTTTTATTCATCGTAAGCCGAGGGGCGGAGCTTAATCGTAAAATCCTTATTTTTCTACGAGAAATTACCATGAGAAATATGTTCTTAAGTAATCGTATTATGGAAAGAAAATTAAAATGTATTAAGCAATTAAAAAAGAAAACTTTTGGTTTTTATTATTTTCGTCTCGATCGAGGGGCGGAGCGTAATTGCAAATCGATATTTCCCTATACAAATTTACCATTTTAAACATGTTTTAATTTTCTTGTTGTGAAAAGATGATAACACATATTAAGAAAAAAAGACAAAATGTAAGCCCCGCCCACCCGCCCTATCTCAATTGTGATGATTTTTTTATTCGTCATGATCCAAGGGGAGGAGTTTAATTGCAAAATACTTATTTCTCTACTACAAATAAAAAAAAACCGCACCGCACCGCACCCTCTTTACACCGCCACCGCTTGAAACGTCCAGATTTTTGAAAAAAAAAATCTAAATTATAAAACAACATTTTATAATTTAATTTTGAGTCTGCAAAACCGAATGCTTTCAAATCCTGCAGATATTTTAAAGCTAAATCAAAATATACCTATTTGCTTATCCCCTCCAAAAAATTGATGACATCAGCTCCAGCTATCTAAAATGTCCAAAACATAATCAGTCTGTGCTTGTGATTTATCACTCCCATTTATATTTTTTGGATTTGCATATACAGAGTGAATCAAAAAAATTAATGAATGCGTGAATTTACTTTATTGATGGACTGCAAAACCAAATAAGCATGGTAAATTTTTGATCCAATTGATTTGCTCATCCCCCCTAAAAAATAGATGACGTCACCTCCAAATTTTGCTGAATAAATCTTAAATGTGCAAAATATGATCAGTCTACACTTGTAAGTTACCACAGGATGACTTAAAAAAAAAGAATCAGTCAATTTTTTTATTGAATAAATCAAGAATTGCAAAACTGAATCATTTGAAAGTCAGGACGTATGTACAGTAATGGAGGCCATCGGGCAATATGGTACTTTCATATTTTCTCGATATTTCATAACCCCTAGGGGGAGGCTAAGGGATGCTGAGCCTCCCCTGGATCTAGACAAGTCATAATTAACCAAATGTGAATTACAACATCTGAAATCAAAATAAAATGTAGTGTTTTATTCATAAAAGTCTGGACGTCGTTACGAATACCATAAATGCTTTTCAGTTCAGTCTTCAGTCGCAAGTGTTTTAAATTTTTTTTTTTTGAATTAGTTTTTTCCTAGGAAAATTATTATTTTGTTTTTTGGTTTGACAAATTTTATCATACATCTGAATTTTTCGGTTTTGGGCATATTTCGTTTAGTGGTCTGATACTAGGACACATTCTTTGTTTGTCTAATTATGAATAATGTTTCTGGATGCTTATACTTAAGTGTTTCATTATAACACTTCTTAATTTTTGTCACACAAGATTGCTAATAGTACATTTGCGGCAATTAAAATTAACCTAACGTTATCCCATTCTGGGAAAATATCGTGAAAGTGTAGTAGAATTCATAACATCGTGGACTGAGGTACGGGGGATTATAGATTTCTCCCTTTAGGCAGTTATCATCGTTATTATCATCACATCATTGAGACATTTTTTTGTCGCAACGTTGAAAATTACATCACCGAGGAACTTTCCTCGCAACGCCTGATACATTTTTTATTTACCATATGTTTTGTTTGGGATAATCTGACGACAGATCACGATATAAACTCTCAAAGCTAATGGTTTTAAGTAGCCAGTCACTTGGATTAACATAATGTAAATTCTTTGTTTGAATCGTTGATAAAGTGTGGCATAATTTAACATCAGGTACATTCTTTGTTCTGGCACCGGGCATGTTGAAAGAGTATTTTCGAACCGGGCACATGTTTGAACTGTAAAATCTCATTGAACAAATTAACAACATTGTGGGTCATGTAGGACATGCATTTTATTCCTTTGATTTAGACCATTTATGTGCACAACGCCACAGCATTGATCAAATTTCTGGAAGACAATTTTTAACGCATTTTTTTAACGACGCATTCGTCCGACGCCATTTTACCTCCAGATTGTCTGTCATGGTTTTATTTATGTGCTTGTTCATGGGAACGGATAACAATGGCTCACAAACAATTTTTTCTATCTCCCAAATTTATCTTCAGTAATTTTCTTTGTTGTGTAATTTAAATTGAACGTAAACTTTCATGTTCTGCAGTTCCTAATCTCATGTCACTTGTATCTGCACAAGTTTTATTTCACACCATATCTTTTTTTGTTTTTATAAATCTTTGCTAGTTTTTTTTATGTAAATATTTAGTTGATTAATGTTTGCATCGTATAAATGGTCCGATGTCCAATCTTAATGTCAGATAATAATTCTTTGCTGTTTCAAATTTCACAGAGTGTATGGCGAATTTAAATGTTGTTGATTGATATTTTTTGAAACTTTAACACTTGTTCAGTTGAAGTTTAATCTCAGAGTTATAGAAATTAAACATTTAAATGGAATAGAGGCTAAATAACACAGAAACACGCAGCGGAAGCGGAGTGCGCGGTTCCTTGTTGAGCTGGCCGCCGCGCCATCTGTACAAAAGATGCAGGTCTTGAATAGAAGTCAGGGACGGTCGGGATGATGTGACGCTGTCAGCTTATTCATAGCCGTGACTTCCAACCACGAGTTTGCCACCGTAACGTAGTCGCAACTTTTTTTTTGTCAGTGCATTTTTTCGTTTGCATCTGAATGCATCACACAATGTAGGGTTCGATTTTGTTAGACGATCACAGGCAAGCCCAAATTTTTCAATTTTTTTTTCACATGTCAGTTTAAGGCGGGATGTTTCGGTTATAACAACATTCACACGAACAATGACAATGAGATGAAAAAATTCTTATTTTGAGTGCGGGCCCGTCACTCGGATTCCGCCACACGATACCGTGTTTTTGTTTCAATTTACGTTAAAATCTACTGAGCTTTGATGACAACACAATGAGTACTGGCATTACAAGGAAGGAAACAAACAAAATTTAATTATACCATACTATATCAAGGCTTTTACACAAGAAAGAACTTACATGATGTTAAATTAAGCATTAATTCAAGTGATTGATTAAATCAAAATGAGTCCAACAAGATTATATCGTGCACCGAATCCCCAAATTACATAAAACAAAGCACATTTAAAAAAACACAACAAGCACATATTAAATACTGTCAAAAACAAACTCTCTAAACTAGCTTAGTGTTTAAGATTGGTTTAAAAGACACGTAATGAACTATTTTAAAATCTCGAGTGAGAAGTTATGAAGTGTGAATAATGTAATAATTCAGGCAGAAAGATCTAGAACTTTAGACATGTCATTATTAAAATGAGTTTAGCTTGAATAAATGAATTTCCGCCACGTATTTCACGTGAATATTTCCATTATTATTGTTGTCAAATTGCGTTAGAACCATGAACGCTTAAAATCCTGAAGTGAACTGTAAATTTACAGTGTTGACGAATTTGTTTATAGTTTGACAACATTTCGAACTAGATCGTTAATTAACTGTTATTACAGTAATTACACTCATTGAGAGGGACCGTGACGTCGACTGCGATTTACACCTGTTTAAACAATGTCCCTTTGGTGAAATTACAAACAAAATTTGACGTACCAAATTTAAACGCGTGTTTTTACCGCACGACCAAACGCGAGCTCGGTCAAGTGCGCTCTCCAGTTTTCTACCTGTTGTATATTCCAAACCCCTAAACTACCAACCAATGGAGTCACATTTCGTTAATCCCTAAACGCGCATGTTTTTTCTCAGCGCGTCGTTTAATGTTTAAATCGGGACACCACAGAATTTTCGTTTTTAGTCAATACAATTCTGAGATAAGCAGAAGCATTGAGCAGCATTTAAAATTTTATATCCTACAGAGATCTCCAGCTTCATTTAGCACATGAGCCAATTTTGTTAGAAAGGTTTAAGCAATAGCGTACACTACTCGTTACTTTGCTAACGATTGATGTGTGAAGGGTAAAAGTGCGCCGCTTTCGATCGATACTAGTAGGTATTAGAGACACAACGGCTTCGGCAATAAGGGCCAAAGTCAATTTGCTTTACTATAATAATTTTTGTCGCCACTAAAACCGCGGTACATATTATATTTTTTCTCATTTTACGACTATGTTTTATTTTTACTTTAAATCAGGACATGAAGTGTTAAAAGTAAAATAGTAACACTTTGCGGCACACCGGATAGATAATCGTTTAATAAATATGCTGACATTACCGTAACAGCTGCACCTTTTCGCGTTTTATCACCCTGAACACATGCGATACTTTTCGCTCGTCACTTCGAATAATTCAGCCGACCCTAAACACCAGCTTTCCTCCAAATACATCGAAAAAAGCCCCATTTATCCGCCCCTTAGTCCTGTCACTCCTCATCACTTCTTGCAAAAGCCCCTTACCTTAAGATAGAGAGCAAATGTACGGGAAAATAGCAGATAGCAAACATGACCACGACAGCTACGAGCATCTTAGCGGCTTTCCGTCTCGAACGAAGCTGCCCTTCGGTGCTGGCGTTCATGTTCATGGCAAACGTGTTCACCTGTCTGCCGCCGCCGCCGCCACTCGCATCTGCAACCAATGAGGCAAATAGAGAACAGAAAGCTGATAAAGTTGTACAAAGCAGAAATGTAGTTATATGTATTTCATTTTCTGTTTTGCGCTATGTTTGCCTTAATTAGGAACGTGTGTGTGATAACAGAGTCAACTTTGTAGCAGTGCTTCGCTTTTTGTTGGAAAATAAACACAACGTACCAGAAACGGATACGTTCTCAACAATAATACTCCACCACTAACATATACATTAATACGAAAGTTGGGCAAAATTACTTATATTCAAACACGGCGTTTCTCTTCGTTTACAGCCAACGCTCAACGAATCCGTAATTTAGCCCAATAAGATTTTCCCGCCGTTAAATAACGCGCGATAACTTAACTTTTTACGGCCACTTAAACGACCTCGTCGTATTTTTTTACATGAATCTGTCAATATAAGTTGTTTGTAGGATCGTAATTTCGTTTATTGTATCTAAAAGCTGTGTTCGCGCTTTAGAATTCCGGCCTTGCAGAGTCATTTAAAAATTTAACGCGAACAAATTTTGGCGCAGTCATAAAAAGCTTGTTAAGCTGCGTACGCTCATAGGGAAAACTTTACAAATTTGCTGATCATTAATTTGCCCAAGTTTTATTATATTAGTGTTGAGTAGACGCGGTCGTCGCGTCTGTTTGCAAGATAATTATTTTGGATTGTTTGGAGACTTGGAGAGGGAGTGGCGGATGTTTATGGAGGAGGCTGAGGAACTGAAAAGTTGCGAGACATTTATTGCGTTCGTGGAAATTACGTGCATCAAAAGTGGAAATAGTGGAAACGAAAACTCATCAGTTTTAAAGCTCGGAAGCTATAAGTAGATTTTTTATATTATTTTATATACAGGGTCGCTAGGATGTATGGAAACGGTTAAATATCTTGAGAACCAATTGTACAAAACAACTGAAATTAGGTATAGGTTATATATAGAAATTCTGCTCTAACTATGCATCAAAAAAAATTGTTTTGCTTCATTTGTTTTCCACCCATTGTAACGCCCCTGTGTATTTTTATTATTCGTTTTATTTTTTGTGATAAAATTTCAATAAAAATTCATAATTTCTTCCAAACTGTTCATTTCCCAGAGAAATTTTAAATCTTTTATTTTTATCCCGGCACCTCCACCATTTTTGTAGACCTTTTAGACATTTAAAAATAATTAGATTAACTGCACAATCAACTATCGAATGTTTTCTATATTTTATAGTATTACAGACATATTTTGCTAAATCGTCGCCTGAGGACTTGTTTGATCTACAGACCAAAGCGCACTCAGGCCAATATCGTCTCTATGCGATATATCTGTAAAGCGACTTTCGTTAGAGCTGACCTGATATACATCCACTACGATGAACTAACCATTTGGTCGGACTTTACAACAAATAAGTGAAGAAAGTTCTTGAACATTTTAACGATTTAATACATAATGTTCCCGAAGGGCAAAATTTACATTTCAAATTGTATTATCAAATGGTAAATTGCTCACCAAAATTTGTCACCAACAATGAAATGACGTATTCTCGAAATTTTACAATAGTAGATGTAATTTAAATTTTATATCCTCCGTTTACGGTTTATGAATCTATGTTGAGTGATCCGTGATCTTAGACGTCAAGATTTTTGGAAAAAAAAATAACAACAATTTCCAATCTATAGCTATTGGAAACATGTTAGATGTTAAACTCAAAATTTATCCGTTCATGCCCCCCAAGAATTGATGATGTCATCTTACAATTTTTTTGGTTGATAAATACGCTATTGATATTTTTCGTTTTTCGATTGCTGTATTTTTCAACTTTAGATGTCTCAATTTTTCAATATTTCAATTATGGGCTTTTTCAATTTTTCCATTCTTCAAATTTTCGATTTGTCGATTTTTTTATTTTTCGATTTCTCAATTTTCCGATGTTTCAATGATAACGATTTGTCAATTTTTGTATTCTTCAACTTTACGATTTTAAATACATATTTCGATTTTTCAATTTTTCAAATGTTGACGTTTTTTAAGCTTACGATTTTTCGACTTTGTTTTTTCAGTTTTTCGGTTCCTCAATTCTCCAATTTTTTAATTTCTCATTTTTTTGAATATTTCTTTCAGTTTTTAGATTTTTCAATTTTTCGACTTTTATACGTCGATTTTTAAAATTCTAATTTTTTCTATTTCCCGAGTTTTCAGTTCTTCTATATTTTAATTTTTGAATTTTCGATCTTCCAATTATTTCTTATCAATTTTTCGATTTGTCAATTTTATAATTTCTCGATTTATCGAATACAGATGTTTCGAGATTTTGATTGTTCAGTTTCTCGATTCATCAAGTTTTCAATTTTCAACTTTTCTTCTCAACTTTCGACTCTTCGATTTCTCGATCCTCTGATTTTTCGATTTCTCCATGTCCAAGTTTTTGAATTTTTCGATGTTTCGATTTTGGATTTCTCAGTTTTTCAATTTTTCACTTTTGGGCTTTCCAATTTTTTGATTTTCCAATTTTTCTATGTTTCGATTTTCTGTTTTTCGATTTGTCAATTTTCCAATATTTTAATTTCTCAGTTTTTGGATATTTCTTTCAGTTTTGCGATTTTTCAATATTTCAATTCTTCGATTTTTTGATCTTTCGACTTCTGGATGTTTTCTTTTTTGGATTTTCAGTTTTTCGTTTTTTAAACTTTATAAATTTTCAATTTTTCGACTGTTTAATATTTCTATTTCTCGACTTTTCGATATTTTAACTTTTCAATTTTCAAAATTCTAGACTTTTCTATTTTTCGAAATTTTCCGAATTTTTAGATTTTCGATTTTGCAATTTTTTGGGTACTCGATGTTTCGATGTTTTGATTGGCTAATCTCCCGATTTATCAATTTTTCTATTTTTAACTTTTCGATTTTTCGATTTTGGCCTATTTATAAGTATTTCGAAACATCGAAAAATTGGAAAATCGAAAAATTGAGAAATTGAAATATAGAAGAACTGAAAACTCAAGACATCGAAAAACCTAAAATTTTAAAAACTGAAAAGTTAAAATTGAGAAATCGAAGTATAAAACAGTCAAAAGATTAAAAAATCTAAAGTTTTAAAAACGAAAAATTGAAAATCCAAAAAGTAAAGATTCGGGAAATCGAAAAATTCAGAACTCAAAAAGTCGAAAAATCGAAATACCAAAAAGATCCCAAAAGAGAAATATGGAAATAAAAAAAAAAATTGAAGAATCGAGAAACTGAAAAATCACAAAATTGAACGAAATACACGAAAACTGGGAAATTAAAAAATTGCAAACTTGAGAAATCGAAAAGTCAAAAAAGCAAAATCGGAAAATCGTAAACTTAAAAAAACCGAAAAATTGAAAAATCAAAATCCTGAAAAATCGAAAAAGTGAAGAAGTGAAGAACTAAAAAATCGAAACTTTGAGAAGTCGAGAAATGGGAACTTTTCGATGTTTTAGTTTTATAATTTTTAAAATTCTAGATTTATCAATTTTTCGAGTTTTCAGTTCTTCTCTGTTTCAGTTTTTCAATTTTCCGAAATTTTGAATTTTCAATCTTCCAATTGTTCTTTTTTAAAAATTTTCGGTTTTTCAATTTCTTGATTTATCGAATTTAGATGTTTCGAGATTTTGATTGTTCAATTTCTCGATTCATCAAGTATTCAATTTCCAACTTTTCTTCTCGGCTTTTCTTGCTTTCTCGATTCTCTGATTTTTCGATTTCTGGATGTCTCAGTTTTTGAATCTTTAGATGTTTCGATTTTGGATTTCTCGGTTTTTCGATTTTTTACTCTTGGGGTTTTCAATTTTTTGATTTTCTAATTTTTCGATTTCTCGATTTTTTGATTTTTCAGATCTTCAATATTTCAATTTTTCAATTTTTCAAATTTTGACGTTGCTAAATTTTCAGTTTTCCGATTTCTCAATTAATCTATATATTTTTGATTTTACTATTGGTCGACTTCTCAAAATTTCGATTTTTTGGTTCTTCAATTTTTCGATTTTTCGGCTTTGCTTTTTTGTTTTCGATTTCTCAATTTTCCAATTTTTTAATTTCTCAGTTTTTGGATATTTCTTTCAGTTTTGGGATTTTTCTTTATTTCGATTCTTCGACTTTTCGATTTTTTGACACCTGTATTTTTTGTATTTTAATTTTTCCTTTTTTAAAGTTTAAAATATTCAATTTTTTGACTGTTATATATTTTTATTTCTCAATTTTTCAACTTTTCAATATTTCAATTTTTCAATTTTTAAAATTCTAGATTTTTCTATTTTTCGAATTTTCAGTTCTTCTGTATTTTAGCTTTTCAATTTTCCGAATTTTTAAATTTTCAATTTTTCAATTTTTTGAGATCTCGATTTATCGAGAATTCGGATGTTTCCATGTTTTGATTGGTCAATCTCTCGATTTATCAATTTTTCCACTTTTAACTTTTCGATCGAAAAATTGGAAAATCGAAGAATGAAAAATTGAAATATAGAACTGAAAACTCAAGACATCGAAAAACCGAAAATTTTAAAAATTGAAAAGTTAAAATATCGAAAACTCGAAATGCTATAAAAATCCCAAGACTGAAATATGAAAAAATTGAAAAATAGAAGAAAAATTGAAAAATCGAAAAATTAAAACAATGAAATTAAAAATTTCTATTTTGTGTTGTTTCACACAGAAGTTTCTTAAAAATTCTTCAGATAAAGATTAACTGAAAATTTGTATTATCCCAGCACCTCCACCATTTTTAGTAAAAGTTTAAATTTTTTCTTAAAATGACAATTATACACTTATTTTTGCTATATCTCACCAAACAACAAAGAAAAACGTATTTTAATGCACATATTCAAAGTTAATGAAATCGGTTCGAAATGGTTCTCTTATTTTAAGTTCAAAATTATATTTTAAAAATTACCTAATTCCACTAAATCTACATCAAAAAATGAAATTTCAAAAATCATAATTATTTTGAAAATTATGAATTTTTGCTCCTTAAAGAGAATTTTTTTTCTG